CCTGGGCCAACATAGAGATCTGAACTGTATATACTGTATATATATTTTGGTTCTCTTTTTTCCATACAGATTCCATAATTTTGAATATATTTCATGCAACAAAAAAGTATTAGTTTGGTTCTGGCTTCAATTATGACATAATGTTGATGAATGCCAGGAGTATTTATCACAGCTCGGGTCAAAATATTAATACAATCGTATGATATTTTTGAGTATTTTCCATGCCTTTAAGTATTCAGTATATCTACCATTTGATAATTTGTTGTTTACTGTCAGTGACTCCGAGGATCAGTGTCCTCCGCAGCCCAGTCTGTGACCAGGCCTCCTGGTTGGTGGTGTGATCAAGCAGGCTGTTTGATGTGGCTGGTCGCAGCCTGGCATGAGAGCCACAACCTGGTTCATCAGGTATCCCCTCAAGGTGTTGTCAACTTACCTTTTCAACACTGCAAGACAAAACAAAGTGAAGAACAATAATCTGAGAAGCAATCGTGCTATGAGAATTGACTTTAGAACGTTTATATTTAAGTTGATTCCATCAATTTTGAAGTACTATGGTGTTCTAGGGGTTTAACGTTCTTAATTTAAATTTCTAAATATTTCAACAAATTTATTTATTGTAAAATGCCAATGACTTCGTTGTTATGGTACCAGATGAATTATTTATTGGCATTGAATTGTTTGAAATAAAGGAATATGTTCTATATGATTACTGTACAACTGGGCAAGTATTTTGACAAGGTAGGCATGCTTGAGATATTGTATATCTTTAGTGTACTGTATTTAAGGCTGTGGCTATGGCTGCCAAGGATTTACAGAAGCAAAATATGTGAAAGGTTTTAAGTTGTTCTATAGAAAAAATGTGTAGCATTAACTTGAACATAAATTTCAGGTGTATGTTGAAGAGAGCCTTGCGTTGGATACATACTGCCGTCATGTCAGACAAATACAACATAGTTTTTGTACTTGGTGGCCCTGGAGCGGGAAAGGGAACGCAGTGTGAAAAAATTGTTAAGGTACAGTCGGTTAATAGAATTTATAGTACTGTACTGTAATTGCATTTTCAGGTACTGAATTTTTTTTTTTTTTTTTTTGAGCGAGTCCCTTGTGGTTCCCTGAAGCTACAGTGTTGATATAATGCCTTATATCAGCACATAAGTGCTGGTCCCTAGTGCCAAGCCACAACCCAAGTTAAACCCCCCCCTCCCCTGACCCCTAAAACCCTTAGATGGCTTTGGAGCTGGAAGCAGCGGAGGCGGACCAGAGGAAGGGCACACCACACCTGACAGAGAAGGAAGAGGAGGTGAAGATGGAACTATGGTTGAATTAACAAACACCTCCAAATCAGAGCCCTTAATCCTTAGACCGTGCATAGTACCGCACATATTGGGGGCCTGGTAGCGAAAAATATTCGAATTATGTAAGAATAACTTTAAAATTTTAAACAAATCTCCAACTTTTTTTACTTCAGTGTCATGAAACTTTCATCAAAATATTTTCAGAAATGGATTTTAGACAAATTTTTAAAAAATAAGAATGTTTTGTTGATAAGGAGAACAGCTCCTAATTACTGGAACTGAAGGATTATGCAGTAATAGAGATGCAAGCACCTGTCTGACGCTCAAAGAACAACAATAGTAGTATGAAGTGTCCACAAAGTGGATATGCAGTTGGTGCCTTTATATCATTGCTGAGTAATACATAATAACACAAATAATAATGAATAACTGTTAATATGCTCTATTTTGTTATATATCATATAAATATGTTGTCCAATGTTAGTATATGTTACTTTCATCAATGTCCCAAAAATATTTTTTTTAGGGTATTTCTTTTAAAAAATTTATTTATTCTTTGTTTATTATCTGATTTTGTTGTAACCTTTACATCCTGGAGAATGCCTATGTTTCCATAACTATGTGAAGATAGAATGAAATTGGTCAACAAATAAATCGGTCACAACTCACAAAACTTGGGACTTTTAATTATTTTTTTGGTTGATTTTTTCTCTAATTTCAATCTCTATTTTTCTTTGTCTCTTTAGGTTGTTTTGATGATTAGAGACCATATTGGGGCTTTTTCACTTATATAAAGTATACCCTAAATCATTATAATTATCCCTATACAGTATTTTCTGTTTTTTGGGGTTATTTTGACTTCATTTCAACACATTGACCTACAGCTTTCACATATTTGAGTACAAATGCCAAACAATGTTTATTAAAGCATACAATTAAACTACCAAAATAAAACTAGCTTTATTCATTGTAGATAACTTCAACTTCAATTATCTCTGAAACTAGAGTTTCAACTTTGAGTGGCTTCTAAAATTCCATTTGTTGACCGATTCTCACTATTTTAACATAGTGTGCTTAGCTGTCTGTTCTACAATCCCTTCAGAATGGATTTTTTATATATTTTATACAATTGGAGTTATAATTTTTTGGGGTCTAAATTTGCTGCATATTTCAAATACACTATTAACGTTTTTCTTTTTACAGTAAACTACTGTATACTGAAAACCTATATTCTAATTTGATGAAAATGAAGATCATATTCTATTCTGAGAGAATTATAACATTAAATGAACAATTGGTGATAGTTCATATTTTTTATTCAGAAATGAAAATCTGAAGTTTTCAATATTCAATTTTAACATTAATTTTCATTCTTTTGTTTTTCAAGTTACGCTGTGATCATTTAGACAGAGATGGAGCATTTGCGTAGTTGATTATGCAAAAAAATTTGGAAAGTGTTTGTGCAAGTTTTAAAAACTTGTTAAATTATTTTGTCAAATCATGTATGTATGTATTACGCGGTCTAAGGGTTAAAAATCAACTGGGGCGGTTCCTGGGTATCCAACCTAGACATCCCAGACAGCTGGAAAACAGAAAATTTCAAGCACAATATAGTCACTGCCTGAAAATCCAGAACATTGTCAGGAGGGTTTGTAAGGAGAGTTACGTGCAGAGAACTAGTCCCACATGACTCAGGGTTGAAGGTGTCACCGACCCAGCAGGCAGCATGGCGGTGGTAAAGGCAGAAAGAATGAGCCTTAGCATGTGGCGCAGACAAAGCACAGTTGAGAGGTGGGACCAAAGAGCCAAAGTCTAACACCCCCAAGTACAACTAGGCGAGTACCCTCAAGTTCGCACAAGGCAAGAGCAGGTTCGTTGGGGAAATCCACTGGACCACTGAACCCGCAGAGGATTTCCAGGATCTGTAGGGAATGGTTCCATGGGAAGCCCAGTATTGCTACGCTAGAATCCAGGAGTATGAAACAAGTCTTCTGGAGAAGGGTATCTCTCTTGGTATACAAATGGTAATCATATGGACAATGGACTTGTTAAGAGTAGGCCACCACAGCTCACCTGAGGCTGAGAAGGCCGACCTCAGCACGTGTGGTTAGGTTGTGCCAACCCCCTTTTACTTTTTTATATATAAAGTAAATCATGAAAATGCATGAATAAATGGCGGGCGTAACTTCAACAGACTACGAACAATACGACCCCGATTTCATCCCGTTTCCATTTCAGACGTCGCAAAAATCATTTCAGGGTGTTGGGTTACAGGCTATATTTCTTAAGCCACTTAACTTAGGCCTACCCCAACCAACCTATTTCCATCTCGGGCCCCAGACCCCTTGCAAAATTGAGTGATGCTAGCTCTAAGCATCTGGCCTCAAAGTTTGGACTGACAGACACAGACATTCTCTTATAGGTATAGATTAACAATACTGTACTATATGAAACAAATTACTGTACACAATTACTGTACTGATTATGTACTTGTGAGTGCCCAATTGCTGTAGGGGACCTGATGCCTGATTGGACAGTGCCTGGGATTCGTAGGCCCAAGGTTCCGGGTTCGATCCCCAGTGGAAGTGGAAATAAATGGGCAGAGTTTCTTTCACCCTGATGCTCCTGTTAACCTAACAGTAAATAGGCACCTGGGAGTTAGACAGTTGCTACGGGCTGCTTCCTGGAGATGTGTAACAAAAAGGAGGCCTGGTCGAGGACCGGGCCGCAGGGACGCTAAGCATCCTTGAAATCATCTCAAGATAAAAGTATCTTTGATCCTCACCATCGAGGGTGGGGGAGGCGGGTTTCCTGATGGACTAGTTGCCTATCAGTACACCCCCCCCCTCCCGACCATACATTCGTTCAGTCACACCCCTTCCCCACTGAAATTCATTACTCTTTAAATAAAGTAATCAAGTGAGAGGGATGTAATGTATATTTATCTTGGGAGTTACAGCATTATAAGTATAGACATGTCCTTGGTGGTTTCCAGATTTCAAAAGTGGCAATAGTTTACTCATTGGCACTACCTTGCTGTTTTAATACAAGTATAGTGTGTAAATAAATACCTGTACTGAAATATACTTTAAAGCATTGTTAGCAGCTAAAGGGCTGAGTAATTTTAGGAGGCTTTATTTCATTTTAGTAAGTTTTAAGGATTTCAAGTACAGTACTGTACAGGAATTTAAGAATACTGTATATTCATATACATTCTCTTTTGTATGCATTTCTGCTTTATGCATTTATATATATATACTTATATGTACGGTGCTTCTGTTCTTATTTATAATTTTAGTTTGTGTATGTTGCAGGAATTTGGTTATGTTCACCTCTCGGCTGGAGATCTGCTTCGGGAAGAGCGGGCCAAGCCAGGTAGTGAGTTTGGAGAGATGATTGCCGGCCATATCAAGAATGGTACCATTGTTCCTGTTGAAATTACATGCTCTCTGCTTGAGCGTGCTATGAAGGTACTGAATGGATTGAACACTTTTAGGATAGTAGAAAATGTCCACACAGTACTGTATTTTGGATTTCTGAATGTTATTTACAGTACTGTAAGAGCTCTGTAATTCGGATTCCAGTAACCTGAATCCCTGATGAATCAGAATGAATTTACACTCGAGTCCATTTTGACCTAACCCAGATAGGAATTTGGGTTAAAAAGATGTACCAAATGAGAAAGTAATAAATTTAAGTTAATGTTCGACTTCTCAACTCAAATAAAAATCTGTGTTATTAAATGTCTGCCAAACAAGAAACTAGAAGGAATTAGTCAAGTGCTTGACTTCTTAACTTGAATAGCCAAACATTTGATTTAGCAGACTTTTACTTTTTTGTACTACAGTATATATATACTGTATATGTATATATATACAGTACCTAAAATGTCCAAATGTACAAATTCAAATTTTTTCAGGTTTCTTATTTCAGAGAAATCACAGTAGCTTGAATTTCTATTCGAATTGAGAAGTACCATAAAACACTATCTTGAATTTATTCAGGTTTCTCGTCAAAATGGGTCAAAAACTCGTGTTAATCCGTTCAGATTACTTTGAAATTTGGGTTAATGGAATCTTAATTACTGAGCTATTACATTACAGTACAGTACTATGATTTCTGCTGAATGATAAACTTGAATACAGTACTGTAAATCTGAATGTTTATTTTGGACGCTGCAGGTAAAAGTTAGCTAACTGGAATGAGGGTGGATCCCATATACCTGGTTGATGGGGTTCTGGGAGTTCTACTCCCCAAGCCCGGCCCAAGGCCAGGCTTGACTTGTGAGTTTGGTCCAACAGGCTGTTGCTTGGAACGCCCTGCAGGCCCACATACCCACCACAGCCCGGTTGGTCCGGCACTCCTTGGAGGAAACAATCTAGTTTCCTCTTGAAGATGTCCATGGTTGTTCCGGTAATATTTCTTATGCTCGCTGGGAGGGTGTTGAACAACCGCGGACCTCTGATGTTTATACAGTGTTCTCTGATTGTGCCTATGGCACCCCTGCTCTTCACTGGTTCTATTCTGCATTTTCTTCCATATTGTTCACTCCAGTATGTTGTTATTTTGCTGTGTAGATTTGGTACTTGGCCCTCCAGTATCTTCCATGTGTATATTATTTGATATCTCTCTCATCTTCTTTCTAGTGAGTACATTTGGAGGGCTTTAAGATGATCCCAATAATTTAGGTGCTTTATTGCGTCTATGCGTGCCATATAAGTTCTCTGTATTCCCTCTATTTCAGCAATCTCTCCTGCTCTCAAGGGGGAAGTGAGTACTGAGCAGTACTCAAAATGGAACAACTCAAGTGACTTGAAGAGTACAACCATTGTGATGGGATCCCTGGATTTGAAAGTTATCGTAATCCATCCGATCATTTTTCTGGCTGACGCAATATTTTCTTGGTTATGCTCCTTAAATGTTAGGTCTTCAGACATCATTATTCCTAAATCCTTTACATGCTGTTTTCCTACTATGGGCATATTTGATTGTGTTTTGTACCCTGTATTATGTTTAAGGTCCTCATTTTTACCGTACCTGAGTACTTGGAATTTATCACTGTTAAACGTCATGTTATTTTCTGATGCCTAGTCGAAAACTTTATTAATATCAGCTTAAAGTTTTTCAATGTCTTCAGCCGAGGTAATTTTCATACTGATTTTTGTGTCATCTGCAAAGGATGATACGAAACTGTGACTTGTATTTTTGTCTATATCTGATATGAGAATAAGGAAAAGCAGCGGTGCAAGGACTGTACCCTGAGGTACAGAGCTTTTTACTGCACTTGGACTAGATTTTATATGGTTGACTGTTACTCACTGAGTCCTGTTTGACAGAAAACTGAGTATCCAGCATCCTACTTTACCGGTTATTCCCATTGACTTCGTTTCGTGTGCTATCACGCTATGGTCACATTTATCAAAAGCCTTTGCGAAGTCCGTGTATATCACATCAGCATTCTGTTTTTCTTCTAATGCCTCGGTGACTTTGTCGTAGTGATTTGGGTTACCATGTATAGACCTAACTTTGTTAATATAACTAACAAAGCAATTTAAAAAAAATTGATAGCAATTTTTAAATACATTGATTTATATATGATGTATATATTCCTGTCTCATGGGCATGAGGGGGTCTGGAAATTCTACTAGTACACTGATGATGTACTTTCATTTGGCTCTGGGTAGGGAGTTGTTGTTTACTGGTTGAGGTGCGTTGTGCTGCCTAGCTTGCATAATCGCAGTGATCGTGACTGGTACCCTGGGTTGTGGTGCTTCCTTGGAGTTCTTTCATTCTTTAATTTACTTTTTTGCCCGTTGGGAGGCTGCCACAGTCTTTATTAGGTGCTATATAGATACAATAGGGCAGTCCTCTGGGCCTCCGGGGTGGCTCACTTCACAGGGGGCCAGTTTGCCCAGATATACAGTATTACGGGGATACAAGCAAATAATATATTTGGCAGTCCAGCGCCTGGGCTTCCCATAGAGAAACAATCCCCTGTGGGCCTTGGAAAACCCCGTCGGGACTTTGTTGACTGCAATGGATGAATTTTTTCTGGGTGCTCAACCCCAGTTGATGGCAGACATGAATACTTTCATGCATGAGAGTTTCAATGGCCATTGTTCTCTGTGCCTCTCTGAGGGGACCATGTTTTTTTTTTTTTTTTTAGATATATACAAGAGTTGTTACATTCTTGTACAGCCACTAGTACGCGTAGCATTTCGGGCAAGTCCTTAATCCTATGGTCCCTGGAATACGATCCCCGCCGCGAAGAATCGCTTTTTCATCCAAGTACACATTTTACTGTTGCGTTAAACAGAGGCTACAGTTAAGGAATTGCGCCCAGTAAATCACCTCTCCTCGGATTACCCTCGGAATGTTCTGGCTAGTGGTCTCCGGCAGGCATGACCAACTCCATATGACTGAAGCCCCATACTAATATTAGCTAATATCAGTCCAATATCTTCAGGGAGCTGATGGGGCTCTACCCAGAAAATGGCGTTTCATTACATTCAACGCTGGCTTTTTGAGACCCCTGACTATTATTTTTGAGACCCTGACTGGATAAAGTAATTGACTAGCTGACTATGGTAATGTTTATGGGAGTGCCACGCAAGTTCTCCCTGCTGCTAGGGTATCATGGGAGACTATTGAGTACTCACTGCATGGCTTATCGATCATAACATAGCAGCTTGCTTAGTGGAATTTGAGGCAAATTAAAGCTCGTATAACTGAATCATAAAGATTTTTTTTTGTTTTTCATAGATATTTTCTGGGTTGACATCCTCATTGGCTCTATTTTACTTTAGCACTGGCAAACCAGGACTACACACCAGGACTACACTGAGTATCAATCCGGGCTCAATTCACATGAGTTTTGCAGTTACTTACATTATCCATTCTAGAGTTATTGTGGATATCCTCATAGTGCATGTAAAATGTTATTACTGTTCAAGCTACTGATCATATTTGACTAATTATTATGCGAGATGGTAATTTTGTGCCAGACTCTGGCTCCCCTAATCAAGAGGCATAGGTAGAATGAACCAAAACAAGCCACTGCTTGGACAATATTTTCAGCCCTATGTACCCACTCATCTAGGTCCAACTGCTGGTTAGCTTCACCCCCTTGTCACCAGATGGCAGCCCTGGTGACCCAGGGCCTCAGGCAATACCCCGGGCCTCAGACAATACCCCGGCCATTCACACACCGGTTGTGCCAATGCTCTGTTCCTCCATGATTCCTCCCAGCTCTGTGGACACTGACTTTTCAACTAAGTATTAGCCATCCCTTAGACTCTGTCCTGTACTATAACTCTATAAGAGTAATTACAGGATGAGAGCTATGCTTGTGGTATCCTGTCTTCCCAGTACTGTTGTACAATGCATTGAAACTATTGAGGGTTTTGGCATCCACTACCACCTCATTAACTTGTTCCAGCCATCTGAAACTGTTTGCAAGAGTGAACAATGTAATGGTTTTTGGCAGCTTTGTTTCCTCGAGTCTCTGACCTCCTCTTCTTGAAGATGAAGGTTTCAAGAATTCTTTTTTCTCAATTTAGTTGTATGTCTTTGCACCTTTTCCAGTTTATTGATGTATCTCTTGAGATGTAGGCACCATAGTACCATTGGAAACCTTGGCATAGGCTATCTTGGTTATCTTGAGGTTATCTTGAGATGATTTCGGGGCTTTTAGTGACCCCGCGGCCCGGTCCTCGACCAGGCCTCCACCCCCAGGAAGCAGCCTGTGACAGCTGACTAACACCCAGGTACCTATTTTACTGCTAGGTAACAGGGGCATAGGGTGAAAGAAACTCTGCCCATTGTTTCTTGCCGGCGCCTGGGATCGAACCCAGGACCACAGGATCACAAGTCCAGCGTGCTGTCCGCTCGGCCGACCGGCTCCCTCTAGGCTCGTCGCAGAATGGAGTTAACATTATGTGGTTCTCAGGTGACGGTTTACTATGCAGGACCCACACTAGATATATCTTGTCAGATTTCTTTAAAGCCTTTTTACATAATTTGTATGTTGAGTGTGGCCTATTTTCTTCTATTCCACATTCCATAATGTGGCATTTACTCACATTAAGTTCCATCAGCCAAGTGTTGCTCCATACACTTATTTTGTCATCTTCAAGGCCATGACAGTTGTCAGTTCTTATCTTCCCTAGTGGCTTGACATCATTAACTTGCATTTGTTGTTCTTCACTATATTGTTTTACATGATGACCGGCTGTGTGTGCTTTGAGCATTTGTTTGTTTCTCCCTATCCCCTCTTTCCCCTTCTTCCATGGTGTTCGAGGACACTTCCTTGGACAGTGTGTGAATGACTGCAGTAGCTGCCTGTGGCCCTCAGTTCATCAAGGCTGTCATCTGGTGGCAAGGGAGTAGAGCTAACACTCTTGTTTTTACTAGACAACAAGTGTTTACATAGTTCAAATTAGAGCTGGAAAAGTTATCCAAATGTTTATTTTGGTGCATATTACCTTTCTGGTGGGTTTTCCTTCAGTATTGTGTTCTTGAATCCCCACTTCCCTATGCTTTTGTTGGGGGGGGAGGGGGGGGGGGGAAGATTTTGGTTTTTGTGTTCAGAAAGCACTTGATTTGATGGAGCCTGATATGGTACTTAGGTTAGAACTCCAGATGGTTAGCTCTGGGAAATAGAGGAAACCCACAAGAGGAGACATTTCATTACATTCAACATTGGATTTCTTGGTTCTGTTTTTGCTCAGCGAGTCCCAGCCACACCTTGGATTTAACGCACAATCTCGGCAACATTCTTCTGCAGTTTTCTCGAGCATTTTGGATGTCTCGGCCAGGCCTTCAACTAGTGATATGCCAAAGAGAGAGGAAATATGAAAGAGGTGTCCATTGTATATATTTTATTCCAAACTTATTATATCCAAGAGGTGGTGGTGATGGATGACCAAGGCTGTATCAGAGGTACTGATGGTGGGTGATACTCACCTAGATGTGCTTTGGCTCTTTGGTCCTGCCTCTCAACTGTCAATCAACTGGTGTACAGATTCTGGAGCCAGGTGGTGTCAAGAAGTGCATAATTAGTCGACGGACTGTGGCCCGCATCCTTAGCCAATGGTGGAAACCTCCTTTTCCATACAAGAGTTGGATGAATCTGGTGTGTAAGTTCAAACCAAAATGTGTGCAATGCAACCAAGAGTTTAGCCAGGGTGAGGATAGTGGAATTAAGGTTGCACTGTACTCATAATGGCGACAGTGATGAACACGGACTATAGAAATATTTACACCATTTACTAAATTATTTGACTAAGGTTGTAAAATGACTCTTAATATGTATGATTGCACATGCAGTACTGTGCAGTATAATTTGAATGCAATGCCATTATATATTGTGTAAATAAATTCATACAAATGAATTTATGGGGAGGTATTCTTGATGGACTTTTGTTACCACATTGTGTGGGATTTGTTTTTCTCAACTCAGCCCACCACCACCTGCCAGATCCAAACATCCTGTTGTTTAGGTTAGGTGTCTGATTGAATGTTACAGGATTTATAAGTTATTTTTCTAGACACTTGGGATTAATCTGTTGCCACAAATTAGTAAGTAAATCATACGAATCCAACTATCACAGTAAACAGGTTACTCATCGTGGGGCAAAAAGCTTTATCTGCCTTCCCATTCTTCCTCAAGATAGATGAAAGGATTACTGCATATAATTTGAAGCAGTTCCTATATTGCTAAAGTTAAGGTGAGGAAAGATTGTTTAGCATCATCTTTGTATTGATGAAAGTATTTTATGTTTATAAATTGTTCCCTATATCTTTTTTTCAGAATTGTGAAAGTAATGACTTCTTAATCGACGGTTTTCCACGCAACCACAACAATCTAGAAGGTTGGAATAAGCAGATGGGAGATAAAGTCAATCTTAAATTTGTACTTTTCTTCAATTGCCCTTTGGAAGTAAGTACAGTATAGAAAAAAAGTTGTGTTTGTAGTATTTATAAACTACTGGTATCTCTCTCTAATTCAGTGCCTGTCCAATACAGTATTTGATGGATGCATACATGTAAAATAATGAACAATAGTAGTACATATAATGAACAAATCCACAAGGGTCTTGACGAGGGTTCAAACCTATGCGCTGGATGTTCCCAGACGCGCTCTAGTCAACTGTACCACCACATGGTCAACCATGTTCATTTTGACTTGGCGTGGTACAGTTGACTAGAGCGTGTCTGGGAACACCCAGCACGTAAGTTCAAACCCTCATCAAGGCCCTTGTGGATTTGTTCATTGATATATCATGTTATTAAGAGTGATTTCTGTGGAATGCATATAATATTAACCCTTAAGTTGCGTAACCCATCATATGATGAGTGACTTGCTATAAAATGCGCATCCCATCATATGATGTATTGGAGTACTACGCAAGATTTAAACGGCCCGCGGTTACGCGGGGTTCACCTCATTTTCATCAGGCTCTTGTAAAACAGACGCCATTTTGTTAAAAATTGTGGGCCAAATTCCCGAGTGCCTCAGTATTGAGTGAGCCACCAAGCCTGACGCACGCAGCATGAACTCACAGCACTGCTGTTCAGCTTGTGACCACAGCATCGCCTAAAAATGCCATAATATATATGTTCGTGCTATTATTTAGCGATGATATTACAGAAGACCCCTGACTGTGATAAAAATGACCAGGATTCTGATAATAACAGGATTGTTGTGATAATTAGCACTGTAGTGGGAGGAGTAATCTTGGTGGAGAGGGAGGTAGCATTGTCTGCTGACTCTGTGTAACCACCTTTTACTGTCTGGACTCACTATACCAGCTTAGTTGTTCACTATGGTGAACAAAACCTGCAGATACTTATATATATGGTGAACATGAATGTAAATACTTGTATATAACGTGTATATATAATGTAATAACAGCAAAAGGACTGTGGGGGAGAAGCCATTTTGGTGATGGGGTGGCAACATCTACATGATTTGTCATGTTGGTAGGGGTGGCCACTATGCTCTTTGGGCATTATACCGGCTTAGTTGAACAGTTATGGTGAACACAACATGTTGGTAGGGGTGGCCACTATGCTCTTTGGGCATTATACCGGCTTAGTTGAACAGTTATGGTGAACACAACATGTTGGTAGGGGTGGCCACTATGCTCTTTGGGCATTATACCGGCTTAGTTGAACAGTTATGGTGAACACAACATGTGTTCATGTTGTTACTTATATATAACGTCTGTATATAGGGTAATAACACCACAAACAGTATTGTTGGGGGTGAAATTTTAGTGCGTCTGACCTTGAATGTGTGAGGGAGGCAGCCGCCACCTGACTGTGTTTAGCGACGTCTCTTAGTGCCTGAACTAACTATATCAGCTTAGTTGTACAGTTGTGGTGAACAAAACATGTAGATATTTATATATAATGTCTATATAGTGAATAAAAGCAAAAACAGTATTGTGGGAGGAGGATGTGGGCAAGTCAGGTGAGTTGAGGGAGGGAGGAAGTGGCAGCCAGTGGCAGGCTGCCACTGCCACTGCCAGTCAGCATACCAACTTAGTGGTTTGTTATGGTGAACACGAATGTGAATACATATATATAACGTCTGTATATAGTGAAAAAAAGCAAATACACTATGATGTGAGGAGAATGTGGGCGAGTGAGGAGTTGAGGGAGTGAGTGGCAGCGAGTGGCTGGCTGGTGTGTGGTGGTCACTCCTCGTTGCTTTTTGACTCATAATACCAACTTAGTGGTTCGTTATGGTGAACAAAACATGCAGATACTTATATATAACCTGTGTATATAGTGTAATAACTGACAAAGTATTTGTTCACTGTTTGATGAACATAATTGATTCAACAATATGCACACCATAATTTTGAGTACAGCGATGATTCACTCATTTTATTATATAAATATATCACACTACACACTATTGAATAATATTACAGCAAAAAACTACAAAAAAAATCAGAGACATTGAAATAATTAGGTAATTATCTCTTTGTGGGCTCTCCTGCCTGACAGCTGGGAGCAACAGACCGCCTAGGACGCACACTGAGTCAGCGCCTGTTTTTTGCCAGACTTTCCTGCCCTATAGCGGGCAATATATGCCACTTAAGATTTTTTTTATTATTTTTACACAAATTAACAGGTTTAGAAGATTTTTTTTTTTTGTATGCGCCTGTGGGTGACAAATGCTAATTAGCCCTGAGCAACACACGGGTTAATAATACATAGTTCATTTTGGAGGGGACAGACAGCCTCTGTGTGTGTGTGTGTGTGTGTGTTTTTATGTGTTTATAATATACTGTGTGTAATTTTAGGCTTGTATTGAGGTCTCCCAAGGTTAAACTGCAGTACTGACCCTCCCTAGGATACAACCCCCCCCCCCACACCAGTTGTCTAACTCCCAGGGTACCTATTTACTGCTAGGCGAACAGAGGCATTAGGTGAAAGGAAGAGTGTCAAACCATTTCTGTCCCACTTGAGATTTGAATTCGGAATTCCTTATTGTGAGTCGAGAACGAACCGAAGGATATTCAGTAATATGCTTTGTATTATTAGATAATTATGTTGAATTATTTACTAGGTTAACCATCTTGCTGATATCTTTCAGGTGTGTACCCAGCGTTGTCTTGATAGGGGAGCAGCTGGTTCAGGGCGTACCGACGACAACATCGAGTCCTTAAAAAAGCGCTTTGACACCTATATGAATGCCACAATGCCCATCATTAACCACTATGAGGCATTGGACCTTGTACGCACAATTGATGCTTCGCGATCTCCTGAAGAAATTTTTGAAGATGTGAAGAAACTCTTTAGCTAAAGTAAGTGCAATAACCAGTGAAGAATGTAATCATAACAGATTTCAAATGGGGTTGTAATGGTTATTTTAGTTTTCAAATGAACTGCATGATTCCAGTAGTATCAAGATGTAAGTAGCTATGATGGCAGAATTCCAGGTAGATTTGTTGGAACTTTGGATATGTGGTACAATAATTCATACTCAGTCCTTCAATATATATATATATAGTTCATTTTATTCGTTAAGATAAATCTAGTTGAGAGTAGATTTTATTGAAGATAATGTTTTTATCTGTAAGTGCATCAGCAAATCTAGATTTTATGAGGTCCTTACAAGTTGAGACGTTACCTCCTATATAGTCTGCTTGCACACTGTTGTTTGTTTACATAATTGTTAATATTTGCTCACTTTAACCAGCTGATGTTTTAATCTACAAGTATTTTATGGATATTACTGTACCTGCTTCTTAGTAATTTTTGTATTTATGATTCTTCCTATACTGTATTAAGCATACATAATAATTTTATTACTACCTCCACTTATTTATTCTTACAAGTGTTTGTCAGATGCTGTAATACAGTAAGTCACTTGGCACTTACATTTTGTTTAAAGGCATTGCCAGAGCCAGATATTCATACTGTGTTAGATGTGTAGGTGACGCACTTGACATGCTCTGCGTGTGATGAAACAGTGTCCATGTTGTTGTGTAGTTAGTTAAATAACTAACTGGCTTTGCTACTTGTCTGTTTCATGTCTTGTAGCCAATGCTACCTATAGTATTTCCTAGGTTCCTACTAAATTGCAAAGTTACTTGAATGTTTTGGCAAGGGTTCTACTGAGTGGCCAGGTTCTTCTGAATGGCTAGGGTCTACTGACTGGCTAAACCAGTTCGTGTATTGAATGATATTCATATGATCGCTTAAATGCTTTTACAATGATTATGTATTAAAAAATGTGACTTACATTTTCATTATGCTGTACAGTATTTAATTGTTTTAGTAGTTACATGGAGGAGTCGTATAGATTTAATGTTAAAAATGTTGATATTTAATGTGCACGTTATTATGTGAAGTTATTGAATAACACATCAGTTATGTGTATTTCTTGAACAAAGATAAAATAATAAAATATATTACAGATAGTTATTTTTGTTATTTATGACCTTTAGAATTTGTGCAGGTCCATTTACAGCAGTTTAAGTAATTATCAAAGTGTTAAGCAAATATAATTATGAAGCACTTCAATGCATAATGAAATTCAATTGATTTAACCTTTTGCTATGATGCCACCTTTTTGCCCACATTCCCACCAAGTGTTAAAATACATCCAAGCACTTGGAGTTGCTTACCTGGTTGATGGGGTTCTGGGAGTTCTTCTACTCCCCAAGCCCGGCCCGAGGCCAGGCTTGACTTGTGAGAGTTTGGTCCACTAGGCTTGGAGCGGCCCGCAGGCCCACATATACCTGGTTGATGGGGTTCTGGGAGTTCTTCTACTCCCCAAGCCCGGCCCGAGGCCAGGCTTGACTTGTGAGAGTTTGGTCCACTAGGCTGTTGCTTGGAGCGGCCCTCAGGCCCACATATCCACCACAGCCCGGTTGGTCCGGCACTCCTTGAAGAAAATGATCTAATTTTCTCTTGAAGATGTCCACAGTTGTTCTGTCAATATTTCTCATTGTAGTACAGTATTGTGTATTGTATTTCTTATTGCCATGTTGTCGCGAATTAGTAATTATGTACTGTTTATAGGCTGTTGAGGGTGGCTTTGCTGGGCTATTTTTTTTCCTTCTGGCTTGCTGGAAAAGCAGGTATCTAAGTGTTACTGAAGTTTTAAGGTTCCTGTTAAAACCACTTAAATGTCGGTTTCATTAATGTATGATTAACTCTAATAGGGCTTATAGGGCAAATAAATAAGTTTCCTAAAAGCAATGTGTACAGGCTGAAGTTTCCTTCAAAAATACTTATTGTGAGTTTTTTCCTCCTGGCGGCCTACGTAACGTGCTATAGCTGCCCCAAGTGGACCCGTCTAACATTGGTCACCCCATGTGCTCCCGTCCCTCGTGTTATACCACAGTGCTGCGCCATTAGTGAAATATTTTTTTAAATAACTTTTTTATTTTCATAGTAACTTTGAACATTTTTGGCCAAGACTATGTCTGGTAGCAGCATCAATCGTTCTGGAGGTGTTAAGAGGAAGAAGGTTGTCCTAGCAATTAAAGACAAGTTACGTGTTGTTAAACCATTGAGGCGTCACATGCAGCCAAATGCTTTCAACAAGTGAGGCGCCACAGGCAAGCCAAGTTCCTTCAACAAGTGAGGCTTCAGCAGCTGGCAGTCAAAACTAACTTTCCTTAATGAACTGTACAGTAATTTTAAGTGTTAATTTTAGTGTTGTGTTAGTATAGGTTACGTAAATTGTTAAGAATTCTTAACGCCAAGATGTGTGGCATCAATCAAGAAGACGAACACCAAGAAGGTAAGTTGAGGTTTCTAGTTGAATATTTAATAATTATATGTGGCAAGGCAATTCAAATTATGTTGTTTGTAGTATAAAAATAGTTGGAAATGGTCACTTTTGGACTCGTAGGTGAAAAAGTACCATTATCCGAAAAATGTGATAATCCGGCTGGGGGTCCTTCCCATATAGTCCGGATGATCGAGTGGAGACAGTGTGTGTGTGTGTGTGTGTGTGTGTAATTACCTAAGTGTAGTTACAGGATGAGAGCTACACTCGTGGTGTCCAATCTTCCCAGCACTCTTTGTCATATAACACTTTGAAACTACTGACGGTCTTGGCCTCCACCACCTTCTCACCTAACTTGTTCCAACCGTCTACCACTCTGTTTGCGAAAGTGAATTTTCTTATATTTCTTCGGCATCTGTGTTTAGCTAGTTTAAATCTATGACCTCTTGTTCTTAAAGTTCCAGGTCTCAGGAAATCTTCCCTATCGATTTTATCAATTCCTGTTACTATTTTGTATGTAGTGATCATATCACCTCTTTTTCATATCTGTCTTCTAGTTTTGGCATATTTAATGCCTCTAACCTCTCCTCGTAGCTCTTGCCCTTCAGTTCTGGGAGCCACTTAGTAGCATGTCTTTGCACCTTTTCCAGTTTGTTGATGTGCTTCTTAAGATATGGGCACCACACAACCGCTGCATATTCTAGCTTTGGCCTAACAAAAGATGTGAACAATTTCTTTAGTATATCGCCATCCATGTATTTAAAAGCAATTCTGAAGTTAGAAAGCGTGGCATAGGCTCCTCGCACAATATTCTTTATGTGGTCCTCAGGTGATAGTTTTCTATCTAGAACCACCCCTAGATCTCTTTCTTTATCAGAATTCTTTAAAGATTTCTCACATAATATATAGGTTGTGTGGGGTCTATGTTCTCCTATTCCACATTCCATAACATGGCATTTATTAACATTAAATGTGTGTGTGTGTGTGTGTGTGTGTGTGTGTGTGTGTGTGTACAGTATATATATACAGTATATCGTACCTAGTAGCCAGAACGCACTTCTTAGCCTACTATGCAAGGCCCGATTTGCCTAATAGGCCGAGTGATTTTCAACAATTTGTTTCCAATTGGTTTATTTTAATTGTTATTATTATATTATATTAAGAGCATTAATTATTGACTTAGTTGTGTTAGTTTAGGCTAGGTTAAGATAGGTTAGGTAGGGTAGGTTAGGTTCGGTCATATATCTATCTTAGTCATAACTCAAAATAAAAAAAAATAACATAATGAAATGGATAGCTTTATCATTTCATAAAAAAAATTGAAAAATATATATATCGAATTCAGGAAAACTTGGCTTATTAGGCAAATCGGGCCTTGCATAGTACGCCAAGTACTGCGTTCTGGGTACTAAGTATAACATATATATATAATAGGGGTACCACCTCTGGTGCAATTGCAGGGACCCACATCCTCGAAGAAGAAAACAAAGAACATTCAGAGAAGACCTTGTGAATTCTCACAGAACACTTTTATCTTTTCTTTTTCTACCACCCCTATTATTTTTTCAGTTTACAGAGAACACACACACATAACAATATAACAATCAGCGTTCGAAGACCTCGTCCAGCTCCTCGGAGGTTGGGTGCGTACCCAGGATACAGCACGCATTTCCCCTCTGAACAGCGACACTGAGGCGCTGGAACAGGAAACTGGCCGCTCGTGGGTCTCTAGTTTTTCCAATGAGTTCCTCGCCCACCTCCTTTAAAAACTTAAGTGCACATTTACCCCAGGTGCCCAGAGTCTCAGAGCCTATCGGCACGAACCTGTAACAACGTTCTAGGTCTTTGTACTTGTTGGTTTTCTGGGTCTCCCTGAAGGTGGCTGCCCCACCTCCCTCCGCTGATCTGTAACGTAGATAGGTATCAGCCAATGTAGATGCACACGTGTAATCCCATACGACCTGTTTACCTTCCCTCCATGGCTGCAGGGTGATTCCATCTGGGCGTTTTTGGCTGTTGTCAGGTCTGCACAACTGAGGTTCCCTTTGTGCTGGACACCCAACTGTAGCCAAACTTCTCTTAATGATGTCATTGACTGCTTCATGTCTGGCAATCTTTTCCTGTGTCTTACGACAGATGAGACCATGGCTGCCGTATTGGTCTGCCCGTGCATGGCCGCAAATACACCGGTGTTCGGTGCAGATAGGGGCGGCAAGGCGCAGGGCAACACCAATACTTAGGGCCCGATGGTCCAGGCGGGCACCCAAGGCGGAATTAGGTACTTCCAACAGGAAGTCCCCGACATGGGGGAGCGTGCACAGCTAGAAGATGCGCTCTGTCCTTCCCGGAAGCTACCTCCAGCAATGACATGGCGATGTTCTCCACTAAACCTAAACCAGGCCAAATGGGCTATCCCATTTGGCCTGTTTGCAGTCATTTGGAAAAGTCGGTCGAGGGTGAGAATTGGCAAGTGTGTCCCACTGACCGGCTCCTTCCGCGAATTTGGGATCATGAATCCCAATGGTGTCTCTTAGGTATTCTGGTAGTATTTCTTTAACTAATTCACCTGTAGTACTGGTCGAGGATAAGAATGCCGGCAATGCTAACTATGTCGCCTTGCGAATATCTATACCCGAGTCTAACTGGGAGCGTTGCTTGGTCCTATTGGTCATCTTGCAGGGAGAGGTTTAACACTTTCACGGTTATTGACCTTAGGAGCGAGTCATATTCTGTTAATTTTGGGCTGTCGAAGGAGGGAGCACACCTTAGGAAATAGGTCAGTCTGGGCAAAGCCAGGCACCTTGTGAGAAGGTACAAAGCATCGTGGGCATCCCCCCTCCCCCCACACACACACACCCCAACCTCAATAATGTTCATATGGTTTTCTTAACTGTGTGTGGTTGTAATGAAGTATACCAGGTCAACGAATAATTTAAACAAAATAAGGGAACTCCATAAGGCTTATTGGCCTATATGAGGCAGATTGTTTATACAGTACTGTATACAGTATGTATATAAAAATAGGAGCTGCCTCGGGGGCTAACACAACTCCTTTTTTAATATAATACCGCGCATGGTCCAACCGGCCTATATGAGGCAACCCCTATTTATATTTACTATACTGTATATAACAACCCATCCTCTGGTTTAGATAGTAACTTTTTTTTCGATTGTCAGTAGTCAGAATTCACAAATTCTTAGCTTTTAGATAATGGTATACTGACTAGTAAGTAACGCTTTTAAGATAAATGAATCTAAAACACAAACTTAAATATTCCCAGGCCTAGTATAGCACACAATGTACTATATTAGGCCTCAGATAGTGTATTAGGCCTATGGAGGTTAGGATAGGTTAGATTAGTTTGTCAAAGCAACACAAGTAAAAAAAAAAAAAGTTTTCCGGTTTGTCCAACTCAATAGTTCAGATTTCTACTTTTCTAATTTTGTTGTACGTCGCTATATATACTATGGTCCTCATCGTTAATTAAAGTACCACCAAAACAGGAGGATGATGGACTGTATATAAATAGGAGTTGCCTTGAATGGGCCCATATGAAGCAGCTCTTACATATGTGGTCCTGGTAGTACAGTCGGGTTCGTTCTTCACTCACAATCGAGAATTCTGGGATTCGAATCCCGGGTGGCATAGAAATGGTTAGGCGTGTTTCCTATCACCTCATA